TGGTCAGCGCATGTCATAGCGAGCGGTCGAACACCTGGTTGAATTCCCGGTAGAACGACTATCCGAAGGGGACAAATTGCATATTAGGCTTTTATTATATAGGATGATAGTGACCCCGTTCACGGATCTGTGCACATTGAAAGGAAATTAATTGGAAGGTGGCTGGCAGGGCGGGACTGGGTGAGACAGGCTGGACACACCCTGGAGTTAACCTCTTGCAGTCCCTCCCCTGCATCTGTGGAGTGAGCAGGGTTCCCTCAGCAGGTGGGGTTTCTTGGACTGGCCTGTGGGGATCAGGCCAAAACCGGCTCTCCAACATCCCCCAAGGGGTCCCAGAGTGTGAGAGGGCACTCTACAAAGTTGCAGTCGTACAGGGTGTGGAACGCAAATGCAAGTGTGCAGTAAACCAGATTCGGGGCTGACAGTGCCCCAGCAACAACATAACCCATGGCTGAAGGTGGAATCGCATGGCCCTGCAAGGAATTGGGCTCCCTTCTCTTTGGTTTTGGGGTGCGTCAACCAAGAACCTCCTCTGCCAAATCACTGCAGCTCAGCAGCTCCTGCATTGAGAGTCTGCCCCCTGGTGGTCAGTGCACATCATAGCAACTGGTCAAATGTAGGAAGGACACCTTTTATATATATAGACTAGAGACCCGGTGCACAAAAATTTGTGCACTGCCGGGGGGGTGGGTGGGGGGTCGTGTGTGCCTCAGCCCCACTTGTGCCCTCTCACAGTCTGGGACCCCTCAGGAGATAACAACCTGCTGGTTTAGGCCCACTCCCAGGTGGCAGAGGACAGGCCCAATCCCTAGGTGCAGCCCCTGGTCAGGCTCAGAGCAGAGCCGATTGGGGAGTTGGGGCGCCGCCCCCTGTCATGCACAGAGCAGGGCGGATTGGGAGGTTGCGATGCCACCCCCAGTCACGCTCAGGGTAGGGCCGATTGGGGGGTTGGGGCGCCGCACCCTGTCACACACAGAGCAGGGCCGATCAGGGGTTGGGGAGCTCCCCACTATTAGGCACAGAGCAGGGTCGATCAGGGGGTTGGAGTGCCTTCCCCTGTCAAGAACAGAGCAGGGCGGATAGGGAGGTTGTGGCCCCACCCCCTGTCACACACAGAGCCACAGGGAAATCAGGGGTTTTGGGCGCTGCCCCGTCATACTGCTCCCGGGGCCAGGAGGCCTCGCTGCTCTGCTGATCCCGGGTTCGGGAGGCCTCGCGGCCCCGCTGATCCCAGTCCTGGGAGGCATATTACCCTTATACTATATAAGATAGAGGCCTGGTGCACGGGTGGGGGTTGGCTGGTTTGCCCTGAAGGGTGTCCTGGATCAGGGTGGGGGTCCCCACTGGGGTGCCTGGCCAGCCTGAATGAGGGGCTGAGGGCTGTTTTCAGGCTGGCGGGTGACTGAAGCTCCCAACCTCTCCTTTTTTTCTTTTTCTTTTTTTTTTAATTCTGGGATTTATTTACCTTCTATGGCTGTCACTGGAGCTGTGAGCCGGCTTTAGCTCTGAGGCTTGGCTCCAGCTCTGAGACCTCAGCTGCTGAAAGCAGGAATCTGGGCTTTGTTTGGGTTCTATAATTGAAACTCTGTTGCAACTCCGGCTCAGCCGGCTGGCTGAAAGCATGGGTTTTATTTAACTTCTATAATTGCAACATAGTTGCTTAGAGTTGCAGCTCAGAGGCCGGCAGTGGCAGGTGGGGACTCTTGGCTTCCTTCTTCGCTGGAGCAAGCAAGCCCCCTGTTCGCTTCAGCTGCCTGGCTGCCGTCCGCCATCTTGGTTGGCAGTTAATTTGCATATCACCCTGATTAGCCAATGGAAAGCATGTTCGAGGTACGGTTAATTACCATGTTTGCGTATTATTAAATAGGATGAGAAAACTGAGATTTGGAGTGACTTGTTGAAAATTTTATAGCTAGGCAGGATTTGAATCTTGGATTTCAAATGCTAACATTTCACACTTAACGAGAGCCTGCTATATATTTTCCAGGTCTGCTTAGGCTCTTTATATGATCTATCTCATTTTATCCTCACAGTATCCTTGGAAGGCACATATCACTGCTTCACTGGTGAATTTGAAGGTTTAGAGAAGTAAGTGACGTGTCGCAAGTCACACATAGAAGCTAGGACTGGCATTTTAAGCCAGATATTTCTGTTTCCAGAATTCATGCTTTGTGGCAAAATATTTGTTAAAAAAAATCCATAGTCTGTAAAATCTATAGCCCTGCTAAATTCATAATCTGTATTCTAGTCAGTCAGGCCTGATGGAACATGGGTCAAGAACTAGCAATAACCTGTTCTTTGGCAAGTCAGTTAGCCTCTTATGGTTCGTTTCTTCATTTGTAAAATGGGTGCAATAAGAAATAGCTGTCAGCCCTAGGTGGTTTGGCCCTAGCCAATTCCTGTCAAGGGTACATGCCTGGATTGCGGGCTTGATCCCCGGTGTGGGGCATGCAGGAGGCAGCCGATCAATGATTCTCTCTCATCATTGATGTTTCTATCTTTCTCTCCCTCTCCCTTCCTCTCTGAAATCAGTAACTCCCTATCTCTCCTCAGCAGAAATTCCCTCCCTCCCTCCCTTCTTCCCTCCCTTTCTTCCTTTTTCCTCTTATTTGTTAGTATTTATGGCATTAGGATAGAGGGCCAGGGATCTTCTTTCTCTGTTTTGAGATTGACAAAGCCAAGATTAGGGTAAAGGGAGAAGAAAATGCCCAGCAGCAAGTATTCCTGTAATGTCCAGGCTCTGCCCATAAAATTTTGCTTACATTATGGAAAGAAATTCATGTCTGGGAGGTATTTCAGCTGCCTGCTGCACATGATAGTGGCAGGCCTTGGTAGTGATTCAGAGATTAAGGATTGCATTGGAGGACAGAAGTTGAGGGTCAACCCTGGGCAGTATAACCTAAACTGGGTCCGTGCATTCAGTAGATGGTGTTTGTAATTAGTTTGGAGGGGAGGTGAGAGGCATGAGCAAACAAGAGCAGGGAGGTCATCTCAAGCATGATGTTTGCTGGTGGCTAGAGGTTGGTAAGGAAAGAAAAGAAGAAGCAAGGCATTGGGTCAGATCCTGTTGAAATAGGGGTGGGCGTGTTTCTGCATTATTAATTTCCCCTTTTTGTTCTCCACCTCACTCCTCTTCCCCACACTTCATATTAACTACTATCAGCTGATTTGAGAAGCAACTTAAATTGGTTTCATAGAACTGTATGCCAGAAGATTGACAAGGCCCGTATGAAATGAAAGCGAATATCTGGCTGATAGAAACAGAGAAATGTATTTCTTTTAGCTGGTAGGTTGTCGATATCTATGAAGTAAGGTTCGTGGACAAAACTCAAGTATAGAAATAACTCATCAGCATCTCTTCTTAAATAATCAAATATGAACATTTTCACGCACAGCTTGTAGTGTATAAATGGAACAACTTTTCTGGAGAGCATGTGGTAATATGTGTCAAATTCTTTAATGTATATGCACTTTGACCCCCTAATTTCATGTTTAAAAATTTTCCTAAGAAAATATTCAAAGGTACAAGCCAAATATTTTTTATACTAGCAAAAAAATGGGAACAACCTAAATGTCCCACAGTGGAGAATTGCCTAAATAACTTATGATATAGTCCATGTGGGTAATAATTATACAGCTTTTAAAATGACACATATTTTCCAAATAGTAATAAGAGAAAGTTTCTGACAGATGGGCCATACTGGGTATCCCCAAAAATGTATATACATTTTAACAGTTGATAGCTCAGTTTTGAAAATGAAATGTATTTTAATAAGCACTACCTTTATAATTATTCAAAGTATGTGTATACATTTTTGGGGATACCCTATATTTTAGGCATATTTTTTAAAATGAGAAAACATCTATACTAATAAAAGGGCAATATGCTGATTAGACCGGACATCTTCCAGACATCCTTCTGACGTCCTTCCGGACAATGCCATGGTGGCAGGGGCTGAGGCAGAGGTGGTGAGTTGTGATCAGGCCTGCAGGGGAGAGCATTTAAGAGTGATCAGCCCGGCAGGGGAGAGCAGTTAGGGGTGATCAGGCAGGTGAGCGGTTAGGAGCCAGCAGATTGCAAGAAGAATGTCCAACTGACGGTTTAGGCCAGCCGTGGGCAAACTACGGCCCGCGGGTTGGATCCGGCCCTTTTGAAATGAATAAAACTATTGAAAAAAGACCGTACCCTTTTACGTAATGATGTTTACTTTGAATTTATATTAGTTCACACAAACACTCCATCCATGCTTTTGTTCTGGCCCTCCGGTCCAGTTTAAGAACCCATTGTGGCCCTCGAGTCAAAAAGTTTGCCCACCCCTGGTTTAGGCCCTAAACCAGCAGTCAGACATCCCCCAAGGGGTCCCTGATTGGAGAGGGTGCAGGCCAGCCTGAGGGACCCCCCCCACCCCGCCATGCACAGGGTCTCTAGTGTATTAGATAATAATAGATCAAAAACATTGTGTAAAGTGACATCAACACTGATAGTAAATGAATAAAACATACATTTTGAATCCAGCTAGCATGGCTCAGTGATTGAATGTCGACCTATTAACCAGGAGGTCATGGTTTGGTTCCCCATCAGGGCACATGCCCAGTTTCTCAATCCCTGTGTGTGTGTGTGTGTGTGTGTGTGTGTGCAAGAGGCAACTGATCAATGATTCTCTGTCATCATTCATGTTTCCCTCTCTCTTCCTCTCTGAAATAAAAAAGATATTTAAAAAAACCATACGTTTTGATAATGTATGGATAAAATGGTAGAAGTACACCAGATATTTTATAGTGAAATTATGAAGAAAGTTTCTGACTGATGGGCTATTTAAGTCATGATACTTCTTACATGTATGTATATAGACATATTTATACATTTACATTTCAATCATTTATTTTTACTAGTAGTATCTTTTAAGTAGGCTAGTTTTTGTTAAAAATATTGGTATTTGTTTTTTTGAATGCTGTGTACCTTTACCTTTTTAGTCCTCGAATGTTGCTTTTTAAATGCAGTCTTGCAGATAGTAAGTTGTTGGTTAGTTGAGATGAAGGAACATGTAGCTCGTGACCATCTTTCCTTCGCATCAACACCAGCTTTCATCGTACAATTTCCTTTCGTCACTTTGGTCAAGAGGAGGGGCAGAAAATTTTGAGCTGGAGTATTATTCAGAGATGATTCACTTCTGCCTTCTAGCTTACAGCCCTCATGCACTCAAGGATCCACAGTTGGAAACGCTAACATCTTCCACCTCATTTTTGGATCAGCTTTCTCCATCTGCATCACTACATCCACAGATACAGGTAACATTTACTACTAATCCTACTAATCCCTCAGTTTTTGTACCTGAGTATCTTACTAATCCTCCTTATAAAGTAAAAAAATATCTAAGAAACAAGAATTTTAGGAATATGTTATTTTATCAATTACAAATGACTAGGCATGAGTATGGGATTGGTTAAAAAAGCAATCTCGATTGCATTAAAACAACATCATCTCTGAAGGGAATGTGAAAACTAGTTCAGCATTCACATTTAATGTGGACTTAATGATTTGCATGGTATCTATTCCATCTTGAAGGATTCTGTAATGGAAAATACCTCCTTTCCTTAGGAAATTGGAGAAAATGTGAATAGTGAAGTCTAGAAAATTTTGTAAATTAAAAATGTAAAAGAAAAGAGTTACATATGCAATTTGTTTTCCATACTATCTGTTTTTTGTATATCATCTTTTCACATGGTTTAATGCAAGGAGCAAGGTACATTTTAAATACTTATTATTTAATAATTCCTTTTTAATATTTATATTCATTAATAAATTAAATTCTTTATAGATATTTCCTAATGACTGCCTTAAAAAATTTTTATTTTAACATAGACCTCTCAGGCAGCCTCATACACAGGAAGGTTATTTCTAGAATTTTAATGTATATGCAGTCATTTGGGATTAAAAATGAAGGCGTTTGGCTCCAACCTGCGATTTTTATTCAGCATATCTTGCCTGGGGCACTGGAATTTGAAATGTTAACCAATCTGCAAGGTTAATTCTCAAATAGTTCTTTTGCAGATGGTGTATGGGATACACTTTGGGAAACACTTTGATCGAGTTATGTTATAATTGAATGGAACGAGTGAACCTTCTAACAATTTATATGCAGAGTTGAACAGTGGATATTGTTTTTTGAAGTCAAGATATTTATATTTTCAGAATTTCAAAATGTAGAATTTTGGTGTTTTAAATTGATAATTTTAAAGGTCTTTCAGTCATTTGGGATGGTACCAATTTTGGTTAACAACTGTATGTTTATGTTGAACATTTTGAGCTAGATTGGCTACGTGAATAGGACCCAGCCTATTCAATCTATTGATAAATATTAATTTTTTTCATATTTTCTAATAATCATGAGTGTAATATTATATAAATTTCTTATATAAATCAGTCTCAGTTTATGTGCTTTCGGCATTCCAATTAGTTAATGAACACACATTGATATCACAGGCAGAGATACACACATACCTCTCATTTCTGGCATGCTCCTATAGACTAACATTTTACACTTTCTTTAGACAGAAATCATCCTGATTAAGGTTTTAATGCAAAACATTTTTCTCTTTGTACTCTAGAGATGAGCGATGAGGAAATAATTTATTCAACCCCTGCATTTCTTCAGAATCCTTCAGAGCCACAAAATACATTAAGGCCTGGTGGTACTCAAAGGCCTGGGAAAATTGATGGCAAAGGTATATGTTTTAAGCATCTGGATTTACCTGCTCTTATAGCTTGTCAAATGCTTGAAGCTTGAAAAAATGTTTTTATCTGTACTTTAGGTTCCTAGATGGTAATACAAAACCATAAGTTTTGTAGTAGTAGAACAGTCTTTTTTTCTTTTTCTTACATTTGTGAGAGTGGAAAAATTAGTGAATTCTTTAAATTTGAGGAGCTAATAAAATATTTTCATTCAAATTTGGTCAAGTAATTTTTGAGGCCTTTAACCCCCGGCTCAGTGCCTCAGTTGGAGTGCTGTCCTGTATACCAAAAGGTTTTGGGCTCTATTTACAGTGGACTGTGTACAGGAGACAACCAATCAATGTTTTTCTCTCCTCTCTCTCAAATGAAAAAATAAAAAAAATCCTCAGTGAGGATAAAAAAAAAAGGTAAATAATAGACTAGTATCTCAAGAAAACATTGCATTTCCTAGACAAATAAAAGTCTAAGAAACATTTAAGAGATGAAAAATATGATTTTATTCAGACAAAAGATATTTTAAGTGCTTTAAATATTTACCAAACCTTGATGGCAATAAAGCTGTAAATATGTTAAAATCAAAAGGTGCATACCAATTTTTCTATTCTCTCTCTATCAAATATTGTCACAATTAAACTTTAAATTGAGAATAACGTTTACTATTTTAATATAGTGATGATAAGAGATACAGCTTACAGATATTGAGGACACAAATGTAGGAGGCTAAAAATAGCATTGTCTAGTGGAAAATAAAGTTGATGAGAAAGAAAGGAAAGTTGATTTCTAGAAATATCTTTAAGAATGGATCCCAATCACATTTGCAGCTTCAGAATATCCACTATTGGCTACCAATTTCTCACCAATATTGACTGTGCCCAGCCGGTGTGACTCAGTGGTTCAGCATTGGCCCATGAACCAGGAGGTCATGGTTCAATTCCCCGTCTGGGCACATGCCTGGGGTGCGGGCTCTATCCCCATTAGGGGGCTTGCCAATTGATGTTTCTTTCTTATCCGTGTTTCTATCTCTCCCTCTCCCTTCTGCTCTCTAAAATAAAATATATATATATATATATATATATATATTTAAAAAAAGAATATTGACTGCTTTCCTTTCTTCTTCATGATAAGTTGTGATCACGGCAAGGAGTACACACACTAGTGTGGCTTCTCATAAATGCATGCTGTGTCTACTGTCACCTGTACCTTTGAAATCCTATAGAACTGTTTTGTGTGTAGGATTTCTACCATGGGTGTATGCCAGTCAGAAATCTGAAATTTTAAAACTGTGACTACTAGGTTCCAGATTTAGATCAATTTGTATGATATCATTTTATAACATTTGTAGAAAACATTTATCCCTTTGTTGCAAATGGTGTCCCAGTAAAGGTTAGTAGTGGGCCAAGCTCTACTCCTGGTGATTTTTTTTTAAATTTTAAAAATTTTTATTTAATGGCCTTAAATGTATGGTATATCCTGGACCATACAAGGGGATTATGACTTATCTTAAATTACATGTAGATTAAATTATATTTTATCACACATGCAATATATATATATATATACATATATATATATATATATATGAAATTCTGTTAAATATATCCTTCTATCCTGATGATTACTTTTTCTTCTTTATTTAAAGAGTTTTCGGGACCCTCACGTCTCATTGCAGTGGCTCTTGGGATCCTCTGTTTACTTCTAATCATGACAATCATAGTGTTGGGAACAATGCGTAAGTAACTGAAATACATCCTTTGAGTCTGAGTAATAGCACTAATCACCAATGTTGCAGTTATTAACAATCAGTTGTTCCCTGGATATCATAAGGGAATGTTTCAGATGGCCTTTTCTTGGTGATTTTTTCCTAGACACAGCACAGTATTATTTTCACTTCACTTACCCATTTCAATGACTCTGCAGCCTCATTCGTTATCATACAGGCAATATTCCTTTTGATATAGGACTTAGTAATATTCTGCATTCTGAGTTAAACATTAAGAAACAACTGTTTGAAATAAATTATGACTTTCTTTTATTTTTCTATGATCTCATTTATATGTGGACTGTAATGAACAAACTAAACTGATGAACAAAATAGAAACAGAGGCATGGATACATGGAACAGACTGACAGCTGTCAGAGGGGAGGGAGGATTAGGATGGTGGATGAAAGAAGGTGAAAAGATTGGCCAAAGAACATATATGCATAACCCACAGACACCGACAACAGTGTGGCGATTGCCAGAGGGAAGGGGGGTGGTTGCTGGGTAGAGGTGGGCAAAGAGGTGGGGGGTAGGAGAGGGGATATTTATAATAGTGTAAACAATAAAAATAAAGCTAAAAAAGAATACAATGAAGAAATGATTTAGTAAAAATTTAGAGTGATTCTGTACATAGATGTTAGAATATTGAGTTCATCAACTTTCATTTTTTATTTGAATTCCTTGATATCTTAGAGAAAATCAGTAATATATTGCACTCAGATAAAGAGACATCTTGGGATCTTCCTCCTTTTTCCTGTGTTTATCCTATTTAATAATAATGATGCTATTTCTTCATGTGTCTTAGTGCAGATTTTCATACTCAGAAGATGTGTTGCTAAAAGTTGGCTAACTGATTTTTACTTTGGTACCTATTTTTAAATAATGTGCTAACTATCAAAATGAAACTAAACTGAATGGTAAGGTGTTCTATCATTATTTTATTCAGATCTCTTATTTTATTTATTCTAGACTTAAATTGCTAACAGTAAGAAGTTTGGTGTTTTCATTTCTATCATCAACTTACTGAGGTGTTACTTTCTAAATGTCAAATTGCTAATTAAAGTAATGAAATCGGTTGATTGTCGAAGTGAGATTTTTTCTCTTTACTTTCAGCATTTAAGCATTATGAGTACAGTTTTGCATTTTACCTATTCTATTAATATTAGTTTTTCAGTATAATCGAGAAAAACATCAACAAGATGAAATTCTACAAAACCTCAAGCAAAAGTACCACATTATGCAAAATGATAACTACTTAACAAAGCAACTTTTGGCAAATATGACTCTAGAGTCTGACATTCTCAAAAATAAAATGGTTTGGTGGGGAAAGAAACCAGTCTCACCATTAATAGAAGAGAAGACGTGTCATAGAAAAAAGAAAATCTCTTCAAAATCATTGCAAAATACAGGTATGAAGGAACTCTTCAGTGAGAGATTGCATGATTTTACATTATTTCTTCTTCAGAAGCTTCAAAGTTAATTACAGGCTTATGATATATGCTAGTTATCTAGGTCTACTGGGGAAATTTAATTTATGCCTCTTAAAAATAATATGGGTATTTGAGATTGCTTATTTTGAATATGGGATTGAGACCCCAGGAGCCATGTTTAGATTAGCCGGCCCCTGTATTCCCCAAAAGTTAATGGCAGTTCTTGCATTTCTACTGCTTCCAGAGGTGAAATAATATGTTAGCTCCCCTGAAAATTCAGATCATTTTGGACCTGTGGGCAAATTAGTCACTTATACTTTGTTGCTGAAGTGGATGCTATCAATAAAAATAAACTTAGGCTGCAATGGGCATAAAGCCTTTTATTTGGATGCTGTTGTAAAGATAATTGTAAGTGTGTGTGTGTGTGTGTGTGTGTGTGTGTGTGTGTGTGTCTTGTTTTTCCATTCTGCCTTGACTTCAGATTTTTGGTCGGTTGTGATCAATATGCATTCCCTACAATACACCTGCAAGATTTGTCATAGTGTTGATGTTTGTGCAACTCTGTGTGGTAATACCTATAAAAAATTACAAGAGGTAAAAATATTAATTTTATACAATAAATTCTGCTATCATGCATAAAGATGGAGTGAATTGACCTGTTTATCAGCAATGAATACATATTTGTTTAGGATTTAGAGTTTACAAAGAGCTTTTGCATATTTAATCTCACTTAGGCATGGTAATCAGTGGAAATTATTGTATCCATTATTAAAGCATAAATAATATTTTTAAAACTTGGTATATTGTAAAACACATGGGAGATAAAGAAAAAAATTCCAAATAATGTTTATTTAGAAGACATTCTAGAAATTTATTTGAATTTTATTATTCTTTAAGCAGCTTATTGAGGTATTAATAATATTTTTAAAACTTTATATATTTAATGTATACAATTTGATGACGTTGGATATATACATACACTTGTAAAATGATCCACAATTAGGGTAATATCTCCCAAAGTTTCCTCATGTCCCTTTTTTATTTTTGTGGTACATATGATCTCTCCTTTTACCAAGTTTTTATTTTATTTTTTTAATCCTCACCTGAGGATATTTTTCCATTGATTTTTAGGGTGAGTGGTAGAGAGAGGGAAAGACAGAGAAAAACATCAGTGTGAGAGAAACACATCAATGGGTTGCCTCCTGCGTGTGCCCTGACCAGGGCCCAGTGTGGGGAGGAGCCTGCAAGTAAGGTATGTGCCCTTGACCGGACCGAACGTGGGACCCTTTATCCTCAGGCCAACACTCTACCCACTGAGGCAAACTGGCTAGGGCTTCTTACCAAGTTTGTAAGTGCACAATGCAATATTGTCAACTATAGGCACTATGTTGTATAGCAGATGTCTAGAATTTATTCATCTTGCATAACTAAAGCTTTATACCCATTGAGCAACTACCCATCTTTCCCTCCTACTTGCCCCTGGTAACCGCCATGCTATATTCTGTTTCTCTGAGTTTGTTTAAAATACCTCATGTAACTGCATTCATGTAGTTTTTGTCCTGTGTCTGGCTTATTTTACTTAGCATAATATCCCCAAGGTTCATCCATGTTGCTGCATATGGCAGGATTTCCTTCTATTTAAGGCTGAATTGTACTTCAAGTAGGTATAGACCACATTTTTAAATCCATTCATCTGTTGATGGACATTTGGGATGGCTCCATATCTTGGCTATTGTGAATAATGCTACATTGAACATGGGAGTGCTGATGTCTCTTGGCATTCCAGAATTTTGATGAACCTCATGTTATCATTATTGGTAGCTATTAAGATTTTATTTAGTTATATCAGGCTGATAAATATATTGCTGTGCTTAACAGAATGCCAGATAACAAGAAGTTTAATGTTTTACCTTATATGTTGTAGGCAAACTCAGTGAAGAACTCTGGTCCTGTTGTGGGGTAAACTGTTACCTTTTTACCACTGAAAATAAAAACTGGAAGGAATGTAAAGAGACTTGCCAAAATAAAGGATTATCTCTTTTGAAGATAGATGATGAAGTTGAACTGGTATCATGGATGATTATATTCACTTTTATTCTCTTGGACTTTGTCTCCCACTCTCACACCCAAGAAATGGAGGACAGGGGGAGGGGCCCAGAAAAAGGAACCTTCAGCTATTCTTTGTGTTGTGTCTATTGAGTGAGCAAAAATAGTACAGTTAAGAGGCTCTCAGGAGACTATGCCTGCTCACAGGAACACGATCTTGTTATTTACTAAGCATGCAATACATATTATCTATCATGATCATTATTATGTCCAAAGTGGAAATGCCTTTGAGGATGCATTTTGAGTCTTTGCAATCATCTTTCTTCCTTTCTTCCTTTCCTTTCTTTCTTTTCTTTCTGCCTTTCTTTCTTCCTTCCTTTCTTTCTTTCTTTCTTTCTTTCTTTCTTTCTTTCTTTCTTTCTTTCTTTCTTTCTTTCTTTCTTTCTTCCTTCCTTCCTTCCTTCCTTCCTTCCTTCCTTCCTTCCTTCCTTCCTTCCTCCCTCCCTCCCTCCCTCCCTCCCTCCCTCCCTCCCTCCCTCCCTCCCTCCTTCCTTCCTTCCTTCCTTCCTTCCTTCTTTCTTTCTTTCTTTCTTTCTTTCTTTCTTTCTTTCTTTCTTTCTTTCTTTCTTTCTTTCTTTCTTTCTTCTTTGTTTCAAATATATTTTATTGATTTTTACAGAGAGGAAGGGAGAGGGACAGAGAGTTAGAAACAACGATGAGAGAGAAACATCGATCAGCTGCCTCCTGCACACCCCCTACTGGGCATGTGCCCACAACCAAGGTACATGCCCTTGACCAGAATCAAACCTGGAACCCTTCAGTCCACAGACCGACGCTCTATCCATTGAGCCAAACCAGTCACAGCTGCAATCATCTTTTTTTAAGAAAAACACTCACAGAGAAATATGCCTCACTTTTGATGAAGTACTTAATCGCACAGGCTGGAACCAGCAGTTATTTCTCCCAATGAGGTGACAACTGAAATCCTGGAGTAACATGGTCGAGTAGTTACTACAAGGAATCCAGGAGCCAGGCTGCCTGTGGGCAATTCCAGCGCTGGCACTTACTGGTTTGGTGACCTTGGTAAATGGCTTAACCTCTCTTAGTTTCAGTTTCCCCACCTGTCGAAATGGAAATGATGATGAGAAACATAAAAGTGATAACAATTTTATAGTTTTAGCCTCATGGTGATTTTCATTGCATCTGCAGGCAACATTTACTAGATCAATATTCTTTAAAAAGTTTTTTTTATTGATTTCAGAGAGGAAGGGAGAAGGAGCTAGAATTAGAAACATTAATGATGAAAGAAAATCATTGATTAGCTGCCTCTGGCATACCCCACACTGTGGATTGAGACGGCAACCCAGACATTTGTTGTGACCAGGGATCAAACCGTGACTTCCTGGTTCACACAGTTTATATGCAAATCCAACAGATGTTTTAAATCATAATGCAGAAGATTTTATGTTGTCATAAAATATTTTCTGTATTTGATGCAGTAAAACAGTTAAATTTAAACCTATATTTACAAAACACATTTAGTCATTTAATTAGACATTATGTATTATGTCACTTTGATTTTACATTTTTGGACTAGTAAATATTTCTAAATTCTCCCCCATATTCCTCTACCCCTTCCAACTACTAAACTGTAGCAAGGTTTCCTCTTATGAGGCTGAAGGCTGTAATGTACACCTCCCACATACTCTTATTTTAATATATTTGTTTTGAAGATTCCTTCTTTCACTTAAAACATGCATAGTTATTTTTCTATATCCTTAAATATTTTTATGGAGCATGCTTTTGAATCAGTTCACAAAGTACCAAATTATTTTATGTCTCCTATTGTTAGATATTTAGATTTTAATTTTTCCCATGTTTTAAATAATCTATGATGCTTGCAACCATTTTTTAGAAATATATATTTTTATTGATTTCAGAGAAGAAGAGAGAGGGAGAGAGAGATTGAAACATCAATGATGAGAGAGAATCATTGATTGGCTGTCTCCTGACCTTCCCCTCGCCCCCGACTGGGGATCAAGCCTGCAACCCGGGCATGTGCCCTTGAGAAGAATCAAACCCGGGACCCTTCAGTTCCCACACCGAGCTCTATCCACTGAGCCAAACCGGCCAGGGCTCTTGCAGCCATTTTTGATACAAATAATGAACTAGGAGAAAATTATGTTGGAAATGAAAATACAAGGATTGAGGGTAGAAGGACCTTTCTGGAAAGGAGGTATATAGGATGATGTGGGGAGCAGCAGAGGACTGGCCACCAACTCAGCTGGCTGCTTTTCCTGTCGTCTCCATTCATCTAACTGATGGAAATTTAGTCACACATGTTGTGATTCCTTTACAGGCCTTCCTTCAATCCCAGACTTATAAAAATACCTACTGGATTGGATTGTCATTTAATGAAGAGGGACGTAAATGGGAATGGATTGACAAGGGCACACCTGGAATGTAAGTCCCTGAAAGGCATCCAAGCTGTAACATCGGTGTTGGGGTTGGAAGTATTGTTTCTAAAATGTATCTTCTCTCATTTCACACAGCTTAACTCATTTTCAAGTAGAGGTTATTGGTAAGATTAAGCAGAATGAGTAAGAAAGTGTTTTAAGAAGCATAGTTAAAAAAGAGAAGTATCATGTAGAGTTATTAATAATAAAATTATGATGCTAAAGCTAAACACATGCTCAGAAGAATGTGCTATGAAGTACACAGAATTTTAAAAATCATAAAGTGATATGAAATGATTGTATCATCCTGATTTAGTCATAGTGATCCCTCCCATAACTGCAAATGAATATTTTGAGTATCCCCAAAATTCATTTTAAACTCTTTTTTTTTAGTTTACATATCTATGATTATATGTTATTTGTAAAATATAAATCTAAGCTATTATACACACACAGACACCTTCCCCATAGTCCTATTTAGAACTATAGTATTTTGTAAACTCTTGGGTTTACATTAAGATATAATCTACTGTCAAACTGTTCAATGATTAAAAAAAAAATCATAACTATTATATTTTTATTGCTAGGAATTGTGTTTTATGTTTTCTTTTTTTAAATTACATTCTTTATTGTTGAAAATATCTTATTTTATCCTTGATATGTGATCATTCTAATATTTGAAATTTTGTGGGATTAATCTATTGTTTCTGCTGGTTGCCATTCATAATGCCATTTTCTTTGTAGTGTTTAGTGATAGTTTTTTTTCCTTTTTGAGTTGTTATGGAAATTATTTGAGAACCGAGAAGACAGCAACTTCCTCAAGAAATAATCTGCTTTTATTGGATACCTCGGGGCATTATAAATCTGGGCCACTTCTAATTCTAAAGTTGGGCCCTGCAAGTCATGTAGTTCTGGGCTGCAAACCTACACAAGATGTTATGCAGGAAATTACCTTGATGTAACTAAGGCCTGTGAGTATCCACTCCAGTCAAACTATCTCAGAGGTCACAGAGCAGAAGGCTCATGGGCCATAGTAAGATGCTCAAATTGCATGGTTAATTAAACCGATCACGCTCTGCAAAGGGGAAGAAATGGGATAGCTTGTCACACTGGGGTGGGGTTGGGTAGGCTGTCACACTTAGGATAAAGTGCAAGTAAATGAAGGGATCACTTGAATCCTGGGTTGTACCGTCTTCAAATGGCCTGACTCAACCTGCTGCAAAACCCTTTCGTGATGGTGTGGTTTCTGGAGCCTGACTTGAGGTTTGAGTAATGGGCAGAAGGTTCTGGCGGCCGGCACACTCCTTTTCTGTATTGGGGCGATGCAGGAGTAGGTTAAGCCTGGCCACAGCTGCAGCTTTCCAGTTAATCTGATGAGCAGCCATGGATTTTATTTTTTTAAGGGCCAGAATAAGTGTCGCCAATGGATGGTGAGCTTAAGACCTCATGAATTTTGAGTATTGTGTGCATCATTATTTTGTGTATGATATTTAGTATTTAGATGATTCTTCCTTTTCTATGCTCAGCACACATAAGCTCTACGTACTGTATCTATAGCTCAACATGTCTCCTGGTTACTAACGTACTTATCCACATTTAACATATCTTATGTGTTCTGCCCATGCCTCACAAGCTGTCTAGTGTCATTTATCTTATTTGTTTCTTTCCCTTTTATCCTGCAGCAGATTTGAATATTTTTAAATTATACAGCAAAAGCAAATTACATGAGGGATGGCTTATGATTTTGGATTCTTAGGTGGGCTTGTTCTTCTGGTCTTCTGCTTAAACCTAAGGTTGAAGACAATTCTAGGCTATTTATAATGAAGATATATCCCTTTGGCTTCTCAGCCCTATGTAGCTTGTCTTCTATTTAGGACGGTGGGTGGAATTCCTTATTTGGCATACTCACTCTTCTGGGTTCCCATCCTTTACTTAATAACTCAGCCTGCGTGTGAATTTGCTTCTTGCCTGCCAGTTCATAAATTTATTCAAGAAAGTTTAAATCATTTTTGTAACCAGCATCTCTTTTTTTAATAGAAAGATTTCTGGCACCTAATCCACCACTTTTCTTAAGTAGAAGTCCTGCTTTTAGACATTTTTCAATGGATTGTCATGTTTTAGCTAATGATTAGCTATGGAACTGGGAAGAAAAAGAAGCAAAGCAAATAAAAAGATTGATTAAACCTCATTTCTGACTATAATCCAATTCTACTTTTTTCTCCATAGAGTATATACACATGAGACCTGGTTATCTGTATTATAGAAATTCTTCTCTTTTTAATCTCTCACTTTTACTGAAAAAATTAATGTAACAAAACTTGTTTGCTACATTATAATCCCGTAGCAGTATTGCAAGGTAGTTTTGCCGTCTGACCAAAACCTTCCAGAGTGGAATAAAAGGGGAGACTGTGGGTGGAATCAAGAGGCTGAGTGAGATTCTCTCCGATGGATTAAGAGCCAAAGACAATGTTCTAGTGATGATGTTATGATTAACATTTGTGTAATCCTGGTCTGTAGGCAACTGACTTAAAAATTATGATTTGTGTTGTTGTAAGCTTCAGAAGTAAACAGTTGACTACACATGTTTTCTGTTTTACAGTAATGTTTCAATAATGAATAGGACCTTCGTGAGAAGAGAATGTGCATTTTTAGCCCCAACGAGAATAGCAAATATTGATTGTTCTAAAACCTACAATTGTATCTGTGAGAAGAACGATGTTGTTAATGACATTCACTAACTACTAATGAATATACTAAGAGGAAAAGGTAAAATGGAAAGTGGCCATTTTTAGTGTGCTTCCTGTAATAATCTGTGATTACTTAACAAAGTAATGTTTTTGACTGCAGGACTTAGTCCACTGCAGAAACAGAGATGAGCTGGAAGAGAAGAAGATGCTCTTTTGAACAATGATTTGAGAGATCAGATGGTCTTCTTGGATAAGAGGGGAAGATTTTGCTTTTGGAGAGTAGTTACCCCTCTCTTTAATGGACCTGTGGAATTTTCTGTTTCTCTTTCCTGGAACTACACACAGAAACAGTTAGAAAACTCATAAATACCTAGGTCTTTTCCTTATTTGTAGGATAAGTCATTGCAATAACCTCTGATTTTGAGAGATAACACAATTAAGAATTAAAAAAATAGTTATCTTCCCCCCATGTAGATGCTTACCTCTCATCTCTAAAAATATATTTTCCTATAATTTCAAACTTACTGAGTAGTTAAAACAATATAAGAAACTCTCATCTAACCTTTACCCATAGTTACCATTTGTTTATATTTTACTATCTGCACTTTATTACAAGTTCTCTCTCTCTCTCTCTCTCTCTCTCTCTCTCTCTCTCTCTCTCTTTCTCTCTCTCTCTCCCCCTCTCTCCCCTTGCTGATCCATTTGATAATAAATTAGGAACATTATGTCTCTTTGTCTAAATATTTTACAAAAACAGGAACTTAGTCTTGTATAACCACCGCAAAATTATCCAAATCAGGAAATTTAGCATTGATATAGATAGTACTATGCTTTTGTCTACAGTCCATATTTAAATTTTGTCAGCTGTTTCAACAATGTTATTATAGGTGTGTTCCTTCATATTCAGAGTCATGCAATGTATTTTGTCCTGATGTCTCCTTAGTCTCCTTTAATCGGGGACAGTTCTTCCTGCTTCCATGGACTTTCTTGACCTTCACATTAAAAAAATAATCAAGCTTATTGAGTTAGACTTTGCAGGCAATAAAATGCATCCATTTAAGTCACAAGGTCAGTGGGTTTTTGACAAATGTATACACCTCTTAAATGCCGTCAAATCAAGATATATAGCATTTCACCATCTCCAAAAGTTCCTTTTTGCCCCTTTCCACCCTCCCGGAGCCAGGCAAGCAGTGATATGCTTTCTGTCACTATAAGTTAGTTTGCCTATTCTAGAATATCACACTTCATGTACTCTTTTTGTCTGAATTATCTCAGCATCTTTTTTGAAATTAGTTTTTCTCCTATCAGTAGGTTATTCTTTTTGTTACTGTGTAGTATTCCATTGTACAGATAAACCCACAATTTGTCCATTCACCTATGAGCATTTGATGTGTTTCCAATTTTTGACTATTATTAATAAACCTGCCGGGAACATTAATGTGCAAATACTGTGTGGACATGCACTTTCATTTCTTTTGGTTAAACACCCAGGAGTTGGTTGCTGAGTCCTATGGCAAGTGCATGTTTAATTTTATACTAAACATCTAGATTCTAGATAGTTTTCCAATGTGGTTGCATCATTTTACCTTTGTAGTAGCAACAAATGAGAGTTCATTTGTCTCCATGTAATCTCCAAAGCTTGTTATTGTCAGGCTTTTAAATTTCAGCCATAACAACGGGTGTGTAGTGGTATCTCATTGGGGTTTTCATTTGTATTTCCCTGAAGAATAATGACATTAGCATTTTTTATTTGTTTATTGCCATTTATATATCTTTGAATGTGAAGTATCTATTTAATATTTTGCCACGTTTCTTTTAAAATTGTTTTCCTGTCTTCTTATTGTAGAATTATGGGAGTTCTTTATAGAATTTGGATACAAATTCTTTGTTAAATATATGTATTACAAATACTTTCTCAAAAGTATACAAGTATTTGTATTTGTGTTACAAATACAAATATGTATTACAATACAGTCTTCGTGTTGCCTTTTCATTTTCTTAATAGTGCCTTTCAAGAGGTGAAGTTTTAAATTTTTTGATGAAGCTTAACAAATCATTTTTTCTTTTATTGTCCTAAGAAATCTTTGCCTATATCAAAATCACAGTGGTTTTTGTCTTATGTTAGCATCCAGAAGTTTAATAGTTTTAACTTGTACACTTAGATTGTACACATTTCAAATTAATTTTTGTGTGTGAGAAAAGGGTAGGGGTTCACTGTTATTCCATATTGAAATCCAGTTGATTTTGTACTACTGTTGAAAGACTTTCATTTCCTCTATTGAATCACTTTGGTGCCTTTGTAGAAAATTAATTGGGTCTACTTCTGAGTTCTCTATTCTGTCTCAGTGATCTATATGTCTATTCTTATAGTAATACCATACTGTTCAATACTGTAGCTTTACACTATGCCTTGGAATCAGATGTGCTAATCCTCTACATTTGTTCTTTTTCAAAAGTATATTGGCAATAACAAAAAAAATAAACAACCCAATTAAAAAATGGGCAGAGGTCCTGAACAGACATTTCTCCCAATAGACATTCAAACAGTGAACAGATCCTATAGAATAAAAGCCTAATATACTAAGTCTCCAGTCATCCAGTTGGCCTTTCAACCAATCAAAGCATAATATGCTAATGATATGCTAAGGCCCCTCAACTGCTTGCTATGATGTGCACTGACCACCAGGAGTTAGACGCTCTGACAGGTAGGTTAGCTTGCTGCTGGGGTCCGGTCAATCGTGACTGAGTGAGATGGGCCGGACATGCCCTGGAGCCCTCTAGTAGTCCTCCCTGGCTGGCCAACCTCCTGGGTCCCTCCGAGGCCCTGATCGTGCACCAGTGGGATCCCTTGGCCTGGCCTGCACCAGCAATCCAGGACCCCGCAGGGGATGTCAGAGAGTTGGTTTTGGTCTGATCCTGCAGGCCAGGCTGAGGGATTCCATTGGTGCATGAATTTGTGCATCGGGTCTCTAGTATATGATAAGATGCTTACCTTCACTAACTATTAAGAAAATGCAAATCAAAACTACAATGAGATTCTACTTCACACTTGTTAGAATGGATATTATTAACAAGATAAGTATTAACAGTGTTGGAGAGGTTGTGGACTAAAAGGAGCCCTCACTCACTGCTGGTGGAAATGTAAACTGGTACAGCCATTGGGGAAAGCAGTATGGATGACCCCCCAAAATTAGAGTTACCATATGAACCAGCAACTCATCTTATGGGTGTCTATCTGAAAAATTTGAAAACCTTTATTTGCAAGGATATATGCACTTCTATTTTCATTGCATCATTATTCACAGTGACCAAGACAATGAAACAACAGAAGTATCATGCCTCTCTATAGATGACTGGATAAAGAGTATGTGGTACCTATATACAATGAAATACTACTCAGCCAGAAGAAAAGATGAAATATTACCATTTGTGACAATATAGATGGATCTGGAGAATATCATGCTAAACGAAATGTCAGAAAGTCAAGAACCATATACTTTCTCATACGTGGGAGATAAAACTAAAAGCAACAAATGAACAAACAAGAAACAAAAAACAAAAACTCATAGACATGGCAACAGTACAGTGGTTACCAGAGGGAAAGGATGGTGAGGAGGGTAGTGAAGGGTAGAGGGGTTTGACTGTATGATTGTGGAAGAAGATTTGACTTTGGGTAGTGGAGACACAATGCAATACACAGCTGATGTTATAGAATTGTACACCTGAAACCTGTATAATTTTATTTACCAATGTCACTCCAATAAATTCAATTAAAAAATGGTGAAGCTTCCTTTGGGTACTTGAAAAGAATAATACCTACTACTTTTAGTCACATAACAATGATTTAAAAAAATAAAACAAGTGATGATTTGCCAAAAAAAAAGTATATTGACTATTCTGGAATCTTTGATTTTCTCAAAATTTCTTAAAAAAATGCTTGATTGGGATTGCATTGAATCTGTAGATTAATTAGGAGAATTGATGTCCTAACAATGTTGAGTATTAAAATTCATGAACATGATTTATTTTTCCATTTAGTTAGGTCTTTAATGTCTCTCAACAATGTAGTGCATTTCAGGATACAGATCTTATATGTATTTTTAAAAATTTATATTTTTGATGCTGTTGTAAATGACATTTAACATTTTTTCAAATTATTTGTTGTTGTTTATAGAGATAAAGCTGTTTTTCTGTAAATTATCTTAACTTATTACTTCCAGTAGTTAAAAAAAAATTCTTTGTAGATTTCAAAACTAGGAGGGTCCAAATCTAAAGCTAATGGGTGGGACTATATATCACTTGGAGGCCTGATATTTGAAGTGGATACAATGACTACTTGGGTTTTGTATTATATTGGAAGAAACAATTCTTCTACCCTTCTAGATTCTAAGACTAAATTGAGATGAGACAGATTAACAGGCCAAAAACCACATTTAATTATTTATGAAAGGGGGATCCATCAGAATATGAAGTCAGGCAATCAAAGCTGATAGCTATTCTGAGCGAAGTTGAAGGGCGTAGGGGGTCTGGGACTTCAAAGTGGAGGAAAACAATTTATAGCTAAAAAAACACATGTTGTTGTTTTTTATGAAGCTGTGGCCAGCCTGAAAATGTACCATCTTGTACTTCCTGGAAAAACAAATGTTTGGTAAACGAATGTCTGTCATGTACAGACAATGGGACACAGAGACGACGTGGTCCTTTCAAGCTATCCCCACCCCTCTCCTCCTCCCCCTCTGCCCCGCTCCCCAAGCCCACCACATCCAGCCTATGTTCTTCGAAGTTATTCTAATAATAGCTCTCTTCCTGGAACAGGCCCTCTATCTATTATTTTAGTCAGTGAAGGGGAGGAGAATGAAATACTTCCTGAGTTTTCTGTTTCTCAAAAATAATCAGCCCGAGAAAGAGACCTATTTTGAGGTAGTTTTGCTCCCCTGCAGCATCTGTCCTTGGGGGGAAAGCGGGGAGAGGGAGAGCCTCTTTCTTGGTATAGCAGACAGTGCCTCATAGTAGGTGAAGCATGAAGTGGTCACATAGACTTTAATATGAACGCAAGGATGGCTATGGGCGTTGAGGGAGCATATGCCTCTCGGCCTGTTTGTGCTCAGACCTCTTTCCCCCCACCCCCCAGCCCACCCAGCTTTGCCTTGAAGGGGGAGTCAACCCCTTCAGGCTGCATTTCCCAGGATCTTAACCAAACAAAGCTCCAGGTGAAACTTAAGTGCTCTCAATGCTTGACAGGGCAGCAAAAATGAGGAAAAAGGGAAGTTCAGTGCGGGAGGATGGGAAGCCAATTCCAGGTGATGCACACCTGGGCTGGCCGCTGCTCCATGAAAAAACAAAGCTGGTCATTTGGCTATGGGGAAGGTGGCTGCACAGACACGCTGTAGTTGTGGACAGTGCCTGGAAGGGAGGAGTGGAGAGGAAATGTGTGTGCCGATTTCATCTCGCTTCCCATTGGTTATAGTTCATCCGAAATGAAAACATACCTGCACGTCCGGCATGCACAGCTGCTGGTGAACCCAGCTCTCACACCCTCCGGTGTGGTGCTTCTCAGGGTCTGGACATGGCGTTCAGAGCTACACAGTTCATTTGTAGACTTCAGACGGTGGAAACACTCGCCTTTGCCTGTAAGTGATCATTGCAGGGACAACAGTGTAAAAGCAAGTGACATATGAAGCTCAGTGGAGAATCCGTGAAGGTACATGAGATGTATTCAGTAAAAGCAGGCTCCCAAGTTCAAGTGGGTTTTGTCAATGGGAAATTGGACGATGGGAGAAAGGGTAATTTCAATCCTGCTCTACTTTAGTTTTCCTACCCAGCAACAGCTACATTTCTTCTATATTCCTATGTCTCTTTGGACAAAGCTTCTGTGGTTCTAGCTTCTGCGAGTGATCCTGACTCCAAGGAACCACCTCCTTCTTTTATCCCTAGCATAGGAAGTAGTGGAGGCTTTCTGGTATTGTTAAACTGTTTTCTTATTGATTCCTGGGCGGTTTCTTAGCATCATCTTTGTACCTTCTTTATCAATTCTCTGAGTTAAATTCCTTCTGCTTTAATACTCAGAGAGATTTCTGTTTTCCTTTCTGGACTCTGACTAATACACATATACTTTCTCATTTTATGATTCCAACAATCCTATTCCCACAATCCTATAAGCTAATTCCATTAGCATAATTTTACAGAGGATGAAAGCAGAGCTTAGTAAGATTATTCAATTACATAGTTGGAGCTGGGTTTGAATCCTGGCTTCCTGACTCCACTCTGACAGTGATGTAGCTCGGATCTTTAGTTTTAGCTGAGCTATCTTTACATTATCTTAATAGGCTATGAGTAATCTAATGTAATAAAAGACAAACATGCAAACTGACCATACCTTTGCCACACCTTAAGCCCCGCCCACCAGCCAATCAGAGTGACTATATGCAAATTAACCCAACCAAGATGGTGGCAGGCAGCCATGGAGCTGAAGCAAGCAGGAGGGTTGGTTGTTCCAGTCATGGAGGAAGCGAAGCTTCCCGGCCGGCCCTGAGCTCCACTGAAGGGAACAAAGTTTCAATTATACAGTGGGGCCTTGAATTATGAGTTTAATTTGTTCTGTAACAGAGCTCGTAACTCAAATTACTCTTATGTCAAATCACTGTGACGTTCTCTGCGCCAACTAGCGGTGGGGTATCAGAAGCTGGCTCGTACATAACCTGAATTTTAGCTCACAGCTCAAAGCAAAAAATCTGCCAAGAGATGGCGCATATCTCAAAAAACTCGTTAGTCGGGACACTCGTAAGTCAAGGCCCCACTGTAGAAGGTAAATAAATTCCAGAATTAAAAAAAAAAGAAAAAAAGGAGAGGCTGGGAGCTTCCATCGCCGGGGGGCTTGGCCAGCCCTCAGACCCTCACCCAGGCTGGCCAGGCACCCCAGCAGGACCCCCACCCTGATCTGGGATACCCTTCAGGACAAACCAGCTGGCCCCTATCCTCTATAATAAAAGAGTAATATGCAAACTGACCCTAACAGCAGAAAGACTGGGAATGACTGGTCACTATGACACACACTGACCACCAGGGGGCAGACGCTCAATGCAGGAGCTGGCCCCTGGTGGTCAGTGCG